GGGGGCGAAGGCGGAGGATGCTGCGGACCCGGAGCCGAGAGGAAGGTGCTGGCTCGGTCCTCTAAGCGCGCCTCGAGGTGTGCCGAGAGGCCCTTCTTCGTTCCCGAAGCCGTCTGCCGGGCGAAGGCGTCCAGAGCAGGCGAGAGCAGCCGCCGCCCCGACCCGGCCCAGAGCCTCGGCCCGACACCATGTCCTCCGCCAGGTTCGACTCCTCAGACCGCTCCTCCTGGTACATGGGGCCGGTGTCTCGCCAGGAGGCGCAGAACCGGCTCCAGGGCCAGCGCCACGGCGTGTTCCTCGTCCGCGACTCCTCCACCTGCCCCGGGGACTATGTGCTGTCGGTGTCCGAGAACTCGCGAGTCTCCCACTACATCATCAACTCACTGCCCAACCGCCGTTTTAAGATCGGGGACCAGGAGTTTGACCACTTGCCGGCCCTGCTGGAGTTCTACAAGATTCACTACCTGGACACCACCACCCTCATCGAGCCTGCGCCCAGGTACGCGAGCGCCCGCGCTCCCCGGGCGTGCAACCCACCCGACCCCCCAGGAGGGTCGACAGTGGCCGGGTTGGTGCATGGGGTCGATCCAAAAGTGTGTGTGTGTGTGTGTTTATGAATGAACTCATTTCCCCCTCTTCTGAACCAAATTATTGTCCAGAAGGCATTCCGAATGGAAGGCTAGTGTCAGGATCTGGGTCACTTTGGCTGAGGGGGATGCGTCTTAAACATGTTAATGGCGGTTGCATAGTTAAAAATTAAAATGTACGTGTTGTTTTTTTTTAATTGCCATTCGTCACGTTCCCTATTTGGTTATCATATGAAATCAGGGTTTTGTTGTTTGGGAGTTTGGGTTTGTTTTGTTTTGTTTTTGTTTTTACCTTTTTTTGGACCATAGACGACTTTGAGAATCTGAAGATAGCCGTGGCATCCTCCCTTTCCCCAAAAATGCATGTACACACACGTTTGCACACCATTCGAGGTTCTTGGATTCCCTGCAGATTTCTGAAAGCCAAGTTAAGAACTTCTGTCCAGCAGCCTTTGACAAATTAAAATGCTTTAGCATTTAGAAACAAAACCCTTTAACTGAAATATCAGAATTGTATATTAATAGCTTGGTGCCAAGTTTGAAATAGCCAGACACCTATTATATCATACATTAAATGCAAAAACTTGAAAAGAGGGCACATTGGTTTCATTAAGGACTTTTAAATTTTTATTTTATTTTATAGTTTTTCTTAAAGCTGGACCGTTAATAGGTTAACTTCATTTGGCTAAATTACAAGGCAAAGTAAGACTAGAATGTTTACTTACTACTGTAAGGGAAATTTTTGATTGACATTTTCTTTATATCCTGCTTGATTTTTAAATGTACTTTTTATATCAAGGCTAATGACTTAATATCTGTTTTTAGAGTTAAGAACCCTAAGTGAAACTGAGCATCAAGCATTGCCTTTTCCAAGTAAAATACATTCTTTTTAAAATATGTATATTTTTGCCCTGACCAGTTTGGCTCAGTGGATAGAGTATCGTCCTGCGGACTGAAGGGTCCCGGGTTCGATTCCAGTCAAGGGCATGTACCTTGGTTGTGGGCACATCCCCAGGAGGAGGTGTGCAGGAGGCAGCTGATCAATGTTTCTCTCTCATTATCGATGTTTCTAACTCTCTATCCCTCTCCTTTCCTCTCTGAAATCAATAAAGATATATTTAAAAAATAAATAAAATAAAATATGTATATTTTTATTAGTTTTGGGCGGGGAGAAACATCAATGATGAGAATCACTGATCTGCTGCCTCCTGCACTCCCCTTCCTGGGGATTAAGCTGGAAACCCCAGCATGTGCCCTGACCAGGAATCCAACCATGACCTGGTTCATAGGTCGATGCTCAACCACTAAGCCACACCTGCAGGGTGATTCATTCTTTTATTTGATTATTTGCTTTAATTTGCCTTAGTATTTTATCAGAGGTTTTTTTCTATTTAAGTTATGCCAAATTTGAGGTGAAAATAAGAGATATTGCACTGCCCAATTTGTTTCTTAAACATTTATTTTTAAAGAACAGGGTGCTAATATACGTAGGTTTTGGGGGGATGAAATGTTTTCGATTTTATAGATTTGCTGACAAGATATTGCTATGAGCTTTAAACATTACAAGCTATTAAGGAGCAGTCACTGGATGCTTCACCTGTGTTGCTTCTATGGAATAGAGAGAAGAAACAAAGCCATGGCAGTATAATGGCTATAAGATTAACTACTGAACTAAATAGACTTTTTTTTTTAATAGCAAAGGTGGAAATTTATTGAAGAACAAGTACAGATTTCCATGTGGGGAGTGGGAAAGAGTCCCGTAAATAGACTTTAAAAAATGGGAGAAAGCGGTTATAAATCAAATACTGTATAACAAATACCTAGACACAAAAGAATCTGATTGGTGAAACTTCAGGTCCCTGAAGATGCTAGTAACTGGACTCAACTCTGAGCACAGTATAATTACAATATAAGGAGTTGGAGAGAATCTTAGAACCCACTGTAGTAAGATTTTGTAACATTTTAGGAAATGACTTCCCTAACTTGGGAAGGTGAATTATATCATTAATTTCAGGCATTTGTTTAAGCCACACTATGTGCAAGGCATTGTGCTTACTTTGAGGTGACAGGTACTATATAATACAGCTGTTCCAAAAAGTGTGAGTAAATAAATGGCTTGATCCCCTTCTAGAGGAAGAAAAAGGAATATGCATGCTGCAGTGGCTTCCTGCTACCCACAAAAAAACTACTCCAAATTTTTCTTATACTGTCTTCCCAAATACCAAATCTATCTTTGATATCTTTGCTTACTGCCTCTCCTAGCTTGATGCAGCCCTGTTAGTCCTCTCACTCATTCCCTGGGAACCTTTGTTTTAAACTTTAGGCTGTTGGCTCTTGGTTGGCTGCCTAACTCCACCCCCACTCCTCACCTATTGAAAGCCTACCTGTTGTTCCAGGCTTCTCACAAATAATAGGGCCTTTCCCTGACCCTCCCCCTCAAATTCAGCTTTAATTGTTTCTCCTTCTCTATGCCCTCCATCCCAGGCATGTCGTAATTTAGCTTTTTAATTTCCCTGATATCTCTCATAGGCCTTTCAGTGCTGGTTGAATTAGATCCTGACGTGTATACTTTGTTACACCGAGTCTTTGGATTGCCTCTCCCAACCCTGAAATTTATGGATTAGGTTTGATGCTATTAGCATTAGCCTTTGTAGAAAACTAGAGGCTAGTTACACCAACCTTGGCCCGATGGAAAAATCAGTGTAATGCTTCTTCTTGGTCTGAACAGGATAAATTAAGTGGTTTAGCTTTTTAGGCATCAAAACTGAGCTCTTTTTTTAAATTTTTATTGCTATCAGAAAGGAAGAGAGAGAGAGAAACATCAATGATGAGAATCATTGATTGGCTGCATCCTACACAGCCCCTACTGGGGATCGAGCCCGCAACCGCAACCCGGGCATATGCTCTTGACTGGAATCAAACCTGGAACCCTTCAGTCCGCAGGCCCTATGCTCTATCCACTGAGCCAAATAGGCTAGGGCAAAAACTGAACTCTTAAAGCCAGAATTTCATGCCCCTTGACTAATAATTTATTTTTTGTTTATTGCTTAGCAGAAGGTCATAACTGTATGACTTCCTCAGAATTTAAGAATTGGTGCTTATTTTGTTCTAGTCGATTTTTTCAATTAGAATACTCCTTAACATTTTTTAAAATTATTCCTCACCTGAGGATATGATTATTGATTTTGAGAGAGAGAGAGAGAGAGAGAGAGAGAGAGAGAGAGAGAAACATAGATGTGAGAGAGAACATCGATTAGTTGCCTTCTGTACATACCTGGACCAGGGATTGAACAAAGTGGCAACCTAGGTATGTGCCCCGACCGCAGCCTTTTCATATACAGGACTGCGTTCCAACCAACTGAGCCACAGGGCTGTTCCTTAACTTTTAATTTTATATTTTTATTCATATATTTACAAGATAATTTTATCCCAGTGATAGGTACTGGGAAAGATGGATGACATACATACTTTCTCCATCATGGAATTTGGAGGCAGGCTAAAAAAATAAAAAAGGGCCTGGCCGGGTAGCTCAGTTAGAGCATCATCCCTATATACCAAGGTTAGGAGTTCAATCCCCGGTCAGAGCATATACAAGAATCAACCAATATGAATACATAAATAAATAAGTGGAACAACAAATCAATGTTTCTCTCCCCCCTAAAATCAATAAAAAGTTAAAAGATAAATAAAATGTAAGATTAATAAGTGCTGCCAAGGACATAAACGTAGGCCAAGATAATATAATGGAAGGAACTTCCCTGAGGTACGATGGTCAGAGAAAGAACTAAGCTACCTATGGGTAGAAAAGAAGAGCAAGCCTTGGAAAGACCTAAGCTAGGGAGGGGAATTACCATCCAAGCATAGGGTAGAGCTTGCACAAAGTCCTGAAGTGAGCCCTGGCCAGTGTTGCTAAGTGGTTAGAGCATCAGCCAGAGCACTGAAGGTTCACGGGTTCTATTCCTGGTCAAGGGCACTTACTTAGGTTGCAGGTTTGATCCCCAGCCCCAATTGGGGCTTTTGGGGGAGGCAACCAATCATTGTGTCTCTTTCACATCTCTTCTCCTCCCATCCTCCTCTCTCTGATCCCTCCCTCCCTTCTACTCTCTCTAAAAATCAATGGAAAAAATATCCTCGGTGAAAATTAACAACAACAACAAAATCCTGAGGTGAGAAAGACAACCAGTATTTTGGGAGTGTGGTTATTTGATTTTGTTTGTGTTTGTGGGTTTTTGTTTGTTGGTTGCCTTGTTTTTGTTTTTTAGAGAGAGGAAGGAGGGGAGAGAGAAACATCTATGTGTTGTTCCACTTATTTATGCATTCATTGATTGCTTCTTGTATGTACCCTGATGGGAGATCAAACTCACAATCTTGACATATCTGAACTATGCTCTAATCAGCTGAACCATTCAGTCAGGGCTGGAGTGTGGTTGTTGTTGTTGTTTTTAATATATTTTTATTGATTTCAGAGAGGAAGGGAGAGAAACATCAATGATAAAAGGGAATTATTGATTGACCGCCTCCTGCACGCCCCCTACCGGGGACCAAGCCCGCAATCGGGCTTGTTCCCTTGACCGGAATCGAACCTGGGACCCTTGAGTTGGCAGGCTGACGCTCTATACCAGTGATGGCGAACCTTTTGAGCTCGGCGTGTCAGCATTTTGAAAACCCAAACTTAACTCTGGCGCCGTGTCACATATAGAAATTTTTTGATATTTGCAACCATAGTAAAACAAAGACTTATATTTTTGATATTGATTTTATATATTTAAATGCCATTTAACAAAGAAAAATCAACCAAAAAAATGAGTTCGCGTGTCACCTCTGACACGCGTGTCACAGGTTCGCCATCACTGCTCTATACACTGAGCCAAACTGGCTAGAGCTGGAGTGTGGTTCTTATTAGTAAAGAAAG